TTCCTGCCCCAGACGGAATCCCTGGTCAGCAGGGCCTGAGGCTGGGCCAGGCTGGGAAGCTCGAGGCCCCCCTGACACTGGCTTCGGAGTCAGCCCTGGGGCTGAGCCCCCACCTCATCATTTACCAGCCAAATGACCCCAGGCAAATTACTGCATGTTTCCTGATCTTCGCTTCCTGTTATGTGAAATAGGGGTGCTGGGAGTTGGAATGAGGGCCCAGTGAGATCTGAGCGCAGAGTGCGTGGTGCACGCAACGTGCTAGTTAAACGCAAGCTACAGTCATGCCTGCCCTGAGTAGCCGGCACCACAGCAAGGCTCGTTTCTCCCATAGCCTTCTCCACATAAGCGCATGGCTGTTGCATCTTCCAGGTGCTCCGGGCCAAGTTTGTGAAGTCACCCTTGATGCCTCTATCTCACACCCCACTTCCGGTCCGTAAGGAAACCCCACTGGCTTCACCTTCAAATACATCCAGGACCTGATCATTTCTTCCCTCCACTGGGTCTGAGTGGCCCTGGGCTGTGGTCTGGATTACCGGAGCAGCCTCCTGTCTGATCTCCTTGCCCTTGTCCTTGCCTCATGAAGTCTACTCTCAATACAGCCAAAGCCCTCACAATGGCTTGTGGGACCCTCTGTGGTACAGCAGCCCTCAGACCCTGGATTCCTCAGGCCTCATGTCTGACTTGGCCCTTCCCTCACTCTGCACTGGCTACACCGGCCTCCTTGCTATTCCCTGATTTCAGCCACTCTCTCACCTCCGGGCCTTTGCACTTGATGTTTCCTCTCTTTCTCTCTGGAATGGCCTTTCTCCCAACATCCTCTGGTTCACTCCTGTACCTTTGAGGCTTTCTCAGACCACTCTATTTAAGAATACCTCCCAATCCCCCTTTCTTGTTTTATTTTTCTCCAGAGCACTTATCACTTCTAACATGCTTCCTGTTTTACTTATTGACTTTCTTTTCTCTCGCCACTAACATGAAGAATCTTAGAGAGCAGATATTTTTATCTGTTTCGCTCCGTTGTATCCCAGAGCCTAGAACAGTGCTCAATAAATACAATAAAACCTGTAATAGAGGCCCTGGAATAATGTGATTCAGATATGAATTGAGTGGATCCAGTCCTCGGCCCAAGGCCATTCTCACGTGATTCCATGACCATTACTCTTACGCGACTGAATTTTCTGGACCTTTCCTCTGGGCATGGTGGCAGGGTGATGGTGGGGGTAGGGGTGGGGCGTGGGCTCACAGGATGTATGCCATCTCCTGGTGCAGGTCCTGCAGCGACTGGAGCAGGCCGGGCAGCATAAGCTGGTGGTGGTGCTGGTGGTGCAGTTGTGCAGCCCGCACACTAAGCACATAGCGGTTATGGTGAGCAAAGAGCTTCCACAGGCTGCGCACATACTTGTCCTTGGCCTTGTCGCGGTCCTTGTCTGGTAGGTGAGGAGAGGGGAGTGTGGGTAACAGCATAGAGGCCTGGGAAGCCCCCATTCCCCGGGCACCTAGGGACAGGTCAGGGTTGGCTTGGGACTCTCTCCCCGCTGGTGAGGGACGCCACATACCTTTGCTGGCCTCCTGATATTTGCGCCTGGCCTGGGCACTGTCCCGTGCCAGGGTTCGATACTGGCTCTTCAGCTTCTCAATGTCCTGGTTGTGGGTCTGGGCAGAGAGAAGACACAGTGTGGGTCAGCGGGTCCTCAGGGCCTGGGACAGTCCTTCCCAAGGTTCAGCGCTGGACACGTCCTGCAGTCCACGCAGGCAGTACGTCCAAGTCCACTCTTGGCCTAGAGTGGTATCTGGTGGCAGGCAGGGCCCCGCTGCAGGCGTGTGGCCTGGACAGTCTGTGTACAGAGCTCCACACTTAGAAGGGCTCTATTGAAGCCACTTTGAAATTCTTGATAATTCTTTGTCAAGGGCCCCACGTTTTCATTTTGCACTGAGTCCTACAAATGACATTCCTGGTGGCAGGAACAACAGATGATCAAGACCCGAGTTCTCATCCCAGTTCTCCCCCTGCTTATGCACTGGGATACTTTGGGCTGGTTCCATCCGTCTCCTCTGACCTTCATTTTTCCCATCTGTAACTGAGCTAAACACATAAACTAGATGAGTCTTTTTCTTCAAGGGCCAGCTGGTGAACATTTTAGGCTTATGGACCATACAGCCTCTGCTGCAATTACTCAGCTCTGCCATGGTAGCTCTATAGCAGCCATAGGTAACATGAGAACAAAGTGGGCGTGGCTGTGTCCTAGTACAAGTACCTATAAAAACAGGCAGATCGTGTTTTTAGACAAGCTTCTGGGGGAGAGAGAAGAGTGGTGGAGACTGGCCACCAGGGGCCGCTGTGGGTCCGTGGCAAGGCAAGGCTTTGCGCTGGTGGAAGTGGGGCGGTGCAGGGGGCTGACCAACACAGTGAATTAAGGCTGAAGCACACATATAGCTCTGACGACACAGCCTCTAGCCTGAGGACCTGGGTAGGATTCAAATGCAGGCAGGGCGACTTCACAGCCCCAGTCTTTAACCTCTGTGCTGGGGCCACACCGCTGCCTTGCGGTGTCTCGGGGGCCCAGGGACAAGCCCACCTAGGCTAAGGGTAGACAGATTGGCCCTCAATCCTCTCAGTCTCTCAGCCCCCAGAGCCAGCAGGTGCAGCCTAGGAGGCGAGTCACAGATCCTGTGATCCCCCCATGGAATGGCTGAACCACTCCCAGCACTTTGCCCAGGTACACAGCAGGGTGACAGAAAACGCACAAGCGAGGCCCTGTTACACGCCAGCCCAAGTGGGGCAAGGCGGGAAGGAAGCTGCGGCAGGGCTAGAGCAGGGCTGCGGTCAGGAGTTCCACTTCCCTGTGAATCCAGGGGCTCTTGTGCAAAACCAGCCCTTTCAGGCTCACAATGCAGGCACAAATGACCAGGTGGAACCCCAGGCCACCCACCCACCTTGGTGAGCTCCTGTTGCAGCTGCTGCCACTGCTCACTGTAGGTCTTGCGCAGTTGCTGCCGCTCCCGGATCAGCAGGCTCAGCTTGCTCAGGGGCCCCGAGTTCAGATCTTCCGCATGCTGCCTCAGCAACCGGCTCAGGCCCTCCGTTTGGCTGGTGATCTCTGCCCAGGACTGTAGCATGGGAGGGGCGAGACAGGGTGTGGAGGACAATGGCTCCTGGGCCTGGGCCTGTCTAATCTCCAACCCTCCCCAGAGGAGCTTCAGAAAAGGAAGGGGCAGGCAGATATCCCAGGGACCCTCAGGAATTCCTGGGGCGAGGGCAGGAAGGAGGTGAGGAGGCCTAAGGCCCCAGGGAACCCCACCTGGCTGATGGGGCTGTCAGGGCCGCCCCGGCTCTGGCCCCCACTGTCCTGTACGGACATGTGGTGCAGCAACCCTGCGTATTCCCGGTCACTCTTGACCCGCTGGGCCATCCACTTCCTCATGCCCTCCAGCAGCCGAAGCTCAGCCTCCTGCATTTGCTGCACCGCCCCGTGGCCCTGGGGGCTGCACAGCTCCGAAGAGAAGCCCATAGTGCCGTCCTAGGGACAGAGAGAAGACAGGCCATTGCTGGAGACATAAGGGTAGAGCAAGGATGCTGGGGCCAAGAGGAGCTGCAGACAGGCAGAAGGTGGGGGTCCCGTCCTGCCGAATTGCAGCCACAGGTACAAAATGCAGGCCTGGCCTGGGACTGGCCCTCACTGCTTCCTGTGTCCCAGGCCAGGGCCTGGCGCCAGGGTTCCCCTTCCCAGCCCTGGAACAGGAACCACCCAGAGCTTCCCTCCCTGGGCCCTTCCCAGTACCCGCTGCAGGGGCCTGTGTGCCCAGGGCCCTCGGTAGGGCCAAGCCTGCCCCAGCCAGCACACAGCCTGGCCCTGCCCCTGCGGCCGCCCCTGCCCCACCTGGTCTGGTGTTCACCTGCAAAGCCACTGCCCACCGCCTCCTGGGCCTCGGGCAGGAGTCACTGCTGGGGCAGCTGCTCCGGGGGCCACCAAGGACTGAGTCAGGCCCAGCCAACAGGCCAGTTCCTGATTCGATGCTTCCTCCTCCGGTGGTTTCAGTTGGCCCAGGCCCTGGGGCGGGCCAGCGGAGGGGAAGGGGCGGGCAGGAGCCTCCAGTCTGCCGGCCCCCCTGCCCAGTGTAGCCCCCCGCAAGGCCAAGGAAACGGAAGGGAGGAGGGGCCGGGGAAGAATGGTCTGAGGAGGGCAGCCTAGGCCAGCACTCCCCAGGGCCTGGGACAGGGACACAGGGTGCGGGGGAGGGGAGGGCAGGGCATAGGGTGAGACTGCAGGCAGAAACTGGGCCTCTCAGTCTGGGGGGGGGTCCAGTGGCAGGTGGGGAGTCCTAGCAGGAGGCTGGTGGCTCCTGAAGAGTAAGGGAGAGTGTGCTCCAGGTCCTCCCCACTCCATGAGATCCCCAGGAAGAGCTCAGACACCAGTCTCAATTTGAGTAACATTCCCAGTCTACCTGGGAGAGGCCTGCTTCTCAGGCACAGGTCCTAGTGGCCCCACCAGTCACCACTCCCCTACCCTACGCAGGGGCTTCCTGTCCCAAGAGAAGCCTGAGGGGTGGGATTGGGGAGTGGAGAGGAAGGGAGTTTACATAGATGGGACGCAGGCTCTCCCCAGCAAGAGCACTTGGGCCTTCCTGGCCCCATAGCGGGGGCCTCAGCCCTACAGCTGGTGGCCAGGCCACTTACTTCAGCCAAGGGAGACCCTGAGCAATGGGGACACAACACAGGCTGTTATCCTCCACCCTGCTTGAGACCAGTCCTGTGGGGGTGGATGTGCTCAGCTTGTCCCACCCTCTGGGGCTTGTTTCCAATCTGCTGTCTTCTGCACCCCACTGCTCCCTAAAGGAGGCCCCGGAACCCCTCAGTAGACAGACTTTGAAATCCTGACTTGTGCCCATCTCAAGGCAGGCAGGACATCACAGTAGGCATCTAACGCCCTCCCACCCCCACCCCCACCCTGATGCAGTCCCAGGCTCCTAGGAAGAACAGTATCACCATACTGGAGACCAGGCCTGGTTTGCATAGTCTGCATGTTTAATCACTTTAAAACCTCTAACATCATCTCGTGTCCATTAAATAGAGCCAACAATGCTGGGCCTGTTTAAATTACAAGAAAAAAAATCACTGTGCACCAACCCAGTATCTTACAAAACCAGCCGGGCTGGCCACAAGGAGGTGGGGGTGAGAAGAGGGCACCCCGGGCAGGTGGCTGGGTGCCAGGAGGGGCTAGGGGAAAGAAAAGGGGTCTCCCAAACAGAAGGGGACTGATTGTCCTAATGGGAGGGGTGCAAAAGGCACGTCAGAAGAAGGGAACCTGGGGGGCAGGACAGGTCAGTGCTTTCTCCACCAGGGCACAGTGTTGGAAGGGGCACAGTGCCACCACCTGCCCACCCCTGGCACTTGGAGAACCAGTGACCCATGAGCCCTTGGCACGAGCCCCATTTGAAACATGGACAACTGCTTGCCTCTCCCACCACGATCCCCCTTTCCTAGGGCCCACTGGCCAACCTCTTCAGAACTTGGGGCTCAGCTACTCCTCACTCCCCAGCAACATGCTGTAGCCCCCCAACACCTCAGGGCCAGGGCAGTCAGGGGGAACAGCAGGGTGGACAGTGGGTGTGTGAAGGTGGGCGGGCCAGCTGCTACCCCCGTTAAAAATACAAAAAAAAAAAAAAAAAGAAAAAGGAAAAAAAAATCAGCATCTGAAGTGAAATAATCACAAAGTGAAAATATATCCTCAAACAGCCCCTGAGATCCCCACAGGGGAAAGCAGCATCGGGTGGGAGGCGGGAGAGGCCGGCTGGGCCACTGTCCCTCCCCACCACCCACCCAGGGGCTCTGGGACTGTGAGTGCCAACAGCCCAGGCAGCCCCGGGCTCAGAAAACAGGGACTTGGGCCCTGGCGGGAGGGGAGGATGGTCAGGACGCCAGCGTAGGGGTCACCCGGGGCCAGCCTAGCTCAGCGGGCAGCCAGCTGTAGTGAAAGGGACACACAGACACGTGCATACACGCGCACCCTGGAAGCACCTGCCTCGCCTTGGTCCCTTCCTTCCATCGCTGCTTCTGCCTGAGGCTCACCAGAGGTGAGGGTCCGGGTCAGGGATGCACAAGCCCTTGGAGAGGTGGCCTCCTCCTTCACATACCCCTTGGGCCAGTCTCCCTGCTGCCTGGATGGGGACCATTATTGCTTTAGAGGGACCGGAAAGGGGCCAGAGCTGCAGCCGAGCTAGGATTCCCAAAAGGGCTGCCCCTCTTCACTCTGCAAGGAACTCTGGCTGGGGTCTGGATGACCCTAGAAAGCTGCCCTGAAGGTTTCACTCCTTTCTCCACACGGAAGGGGTGCTGGGGGACGGGTGAGGCCCTCCCCTGTCCCCCAGCTGGTCCTGGGGCCCCACCTCAGGCAGCCAGGAAGCCCAAGGATAGGGCGGGACGCTGTCTCTGCCCCTCTTGCCTCCCAGCTGGGGTCTAAACCCAGTCCCAAGATAAAAAAATACTTTGGTGAATTAAAAAGTGCCCAAGGAGGGGGTGGGTTTGAAGGGGCGGCCGCAGGCGCTCGTCAGAGGACACTCTGGTCTCTGATAAAGGCGGTCCTCTCGCCCCGGCCCTCATCCTCCTCTGAGTCGGACGGGCACTCTTGCCAGGCCTCGGGGGGCAGCCCCTTGTAGGAGATGAGGCCGCGGTCCATCGTGTACACCTTCACCCCGCGGAAGCTGAAGCCTGAACGCAGCTGCAGGACCAGGAAAACGGTGACGAAGACCAGGACGATGAAGGCGCAGCTGAGGCCGGCCACCACCTCAGGTAGGTGTGAGGGCAGCAGCCCTGCCCGCAGCCGTGGTTCTGCTTCCACCCCCAAGGGTGGCCGGGGTGGCCGCTGCGGGGATTCTCGGCTGCTCTGACTTTGCCGGGAGCATGTCTGCTCCACAGGGTCCAGGGAGGCGTGGCTGGGGCAACTGAGGCAGTCTGTGGGGGCTGGCCCCCGGCAGGTGGCACACAAGGGGTGGCAGGGGGCACAGACGCTGGCACGGATGGTCTCCACGTCATTCTCAGTGCTGTAGTGCGTGTCGAGGACTTGGGGAGCAAAGCCTGGTGGGCAGTGCTGGACACAGCTCTTCTGGTGCAGGGAGAAGCCTTCCTCGCACACTGCGGGCATGGGAGAAACAGCGGGTGTCGGCTCAGATGGCCATGGCCATGGGGCCATATGAGCTCAGGACCAGGGCAGCCCAGGCACCAGTGCCCAGGAGCAGAACCACATCATCCCAGGGGCCCTAGTGTCCCTCCAGACCCCTTTTCCGCCTAGAACTGGGACTCAGGACAGGCACCCTCTGTCCTCCAGCCTCAGGCCCCAAATCCTAACAGACCCACTACTGACCCACACAGGCCTGGCTGGATGTGAGCGTCTTGCAGCCACTGCTCTCGGGAGGCGCGGGCAGCCCCTCGGGGGCCGTGCCATACAGCACAAGGGTGAACTTGGTCAGCGTCCCTATTCCGGGTGGAGGATAAGTCCATGGTGAGTGGACACTGGGACCCAGCATCCAGACCCTGCTGGCTGTCCAATTGGTTCCCCAACCCTCAAGTGCCACCCATACCATAGTTGTTGGCTTCGCTGGTGTTTTCAATCTCCAGGACCCACTCGCCAGAGGGATCCTCATCCCAGGAATGGGTTGTCATGAAGGCCCAGTCATTAAACCCATCTGCGGAGTAGTCGTGTGGCCTGGGGGAGCAGGGTGCACACAGCTGTTGAGGCCTCTGGGGGACCCCAGCCAGGAACACCAAGCCCACCACAAATGGACCACACACCCTCCCCCAGTGCAGCATCGACCCCACACTGGGCTGGAAATGCTTCCTGGCTCTGATTCCCAAGGCCAGATGCTCTTAACAAGAAGATTCTGGAAATACGCAAAAGCACTGCGCACGGGAAGGCACACAGATGTGGTACTTGGTGGGTGGAATCAGGGTTTCCTGCAATATCGGACTCCCATAGGACAAATTCATCCTTCCCAAATGCTGACAAGTGTCCTCGCTGAGTGTTTGCTGGCCATGAGGCTGTGTGAGTGAATGAATGAATGCACATGGGCACGGGGATGGGCTGGGCAGGGGACAGGGCAAGCACCTGGCGGCCAGCAGGGTGGAGCGGGTACCCATGGGGCTGACCAGGTGGATGGCCAAGTCGCCACGGCGATTGTAGGACAGGGTGAGACGCGCCTGAACGTGCTCCAGCCGCGTGACGTGGCTGGGCTCCCCCAGGCAGGCGCTCACAGTTTTCCGCACCTCCAGCCGCTTCCCGATGTCCCTGCGCAGAGACAGTGACGGCCGTCAGCCTGGCCCAGAGGGACCAATGGGTACCCCTGAACCCTCAGGTCCCGCCCACCGCCTCCTAGCCAGGGTTCAGCCCTCACTTGGGCTCAGCAAGGATGTCAATGACACACTTCCGCTGGGAGGCCACCGTCGTCCAGTTCTGGGCCAGGGCCACCATGGCACCCGCATCCAACAACCCGTAGCCATACGAATGGCTCACTGTGGGGTGGGGAAGGTGAGGTCAGCTGGGAGGCATGGAGTGCCCCCCTCTGACCCCCTCAATCCAGCCCACTGGGTCACCCTGTCCCCACCTTTCCGGCCCACACCATTGGTGGCCCAATCGTTAGCATTGAGGTGTGCTGGCTTTGAGGTCTGTACCACCAGGTGCTGCATGTCCCGCCAAGTGAGGTTCCTACTGCAAAGGAGAGAGAGGCTGGATTCAGTCTCTGTGGAGAGAAGCTGGAGACCAAGGGCTGCCCTGCACAGCGCACTGGTGGGGACAGGGCTGCTCTTCAGCCCCTGCCGCTTACTTGGCCTCCAGGGTGAGCGCGATGATGCCAGCTGCCAGGGGGGCAGAGGCCGAGGTGCCCGTGTGTGACTCTGTACACTTCTGCCGCAAATCAGTGGTCACCTGCACGAAGAACAATGGTGTTGGGTCTGTGGTGGGTGGAGGGGACCAGGGAAGCGACCTGCCGGCCTTCCCTCTGCCTACAGGCCCTGAGCACCACAGCTAGTGTGGCAAGTCAGGGCTAGGACCCCTGGGCCCCAGTCACTGCCTTGCTGTGAACAGGACAATGTCTTGCTGTGAACAGGACAATGTCTGGCCATTTCTGGACCTCAATTTCCCAAGGAACAAAGGGGCTGCACCAGGGGATTGGCGATCAATAAGAGTAAAGACTGTTTTTAGGAGAGTCTACATTTCTCAGGGGCTTCACAGACGGCTCCATGGCCCCCAAGAGTCGTAGAGAGCCCTCCAGCTCCCAGTCCATGATGCTGGAGCCCCTATCACCCAGCCACTTGCAAGTGGGAGCTAGATGGGGTCAGGGGGAGTCAGCAAGCAGCCCCATTTCCCCAGCCTGAACCCCGGCGCCCTCCCAGGGTGAAACTCACGATCTGCTTCTCATTCTGGTTGCCGCTGCTGTAGGTCGTGGCCAGTGTGGACGAGCAGGCCTCACTGTACCAGGGCACATTGCCGAACTGCGTGGCGCTGCTGATGGACAGCGTGTAGATGCTGTTGGTGTAGCCGTCGCAGTTGCAGCTGTCATGTTCCCGGCCCCCGTTCCCCGAGGCCCAGACAAAGATGGAGCCCAGCCCCCCACGGCCCTGTGGACAGAGGGGGCTGGGGTCACTGGAGAACAGGGCTTGGGGGAGGCCTGGTGGGAAGAGACACTGCTGGAGACTGGAAAGGCTGGGGCTCGTCCTTGGGCACCCTCCACCTACCCCCCAACCCGTTTCCCATGATGTCCCTGGTGGGTCAGATATATATGCAAGTATGTCTGTCTACGCACAAGAAATAGAACTGGACTACCACCAAAATGCTCAGAGCGGCGATTCCAGGGAGTGGAATTTTGGGTGATTTTAATTTATTTTTCTCTTTTTCTGTCCTTCTAGTCTCTTAATGTTTTAATAAACATGCTTTGTGTAAAATTAAAGTTAAACAAAAGAACAAAATAAACAGGATCAGAAAAACATAAGGAAGAAAGCCATGGAAAACAGAGTGCCCAGTGTGCCCCCCAAGACTGGGCCTGGACCCCTGTCTCACCTGGCTGACCCCCCGGAAGAAGGCCTCCTCAGCAAGGCGGGCTGGCCCGTCCACGGTCTTGCCGTCATCCTCGGGGCCCCAGCTGGCACTGTAGATGTGGATGTGGTTGGGGTTCAGGCCCAGCGAGCGCGCCTCCACTGCATCTGTCACCTCACCATCCAGCATGCGTACCCCTGGCCGCAGAGGGGGACGGGGAAAGGGATGCTACGTGGGTTCAGCTGCCGGGGGCAAGCCCTGGAGCACACCCAGCCCTGCACCCAGAGGATGGGCAGGGGAGGGGAGAGGCTGGTGCTGGGACACCCTGAACCCCTAACTGCCTGGCCTGCCTCTGCCTCTCGAAGATAAGACCAGTGGAGGGGAAAAAGGAGAACACCCTGCCCTCACCCACACATTCTGGGCCAGAGCATGTCTCTGGGTTTCCAAAAGAGTGTGCTGGTGAAGGCTTGCCGTGTAAGGACTCACTGGAGTGGGTGGTGAGGCTGTAGGGAGACTCCTGCTAAGAAACACTCACCCACCCCACAGCACAAGGCCACCAGCATGGGTGGTTCAGCTCTTTGAGTTGCTAAGAATCTTCTAAGGAATAGCCACGTGGTCAAAAGGATCCACAGTGAGAAAGTGAGCACTGGCCAGATGGGAAGTGGGCCGAGAGAAGCCCCACCCAAAGGGCCCTCCCAACGACTGGGTGGCCAAGACCCACACCCACCTCCAATGTGGGCGTTGTAGGCCACACCCACACCACAGACGCCGTTGTTGGCCACGGCGGCCACCTCGCCCGCACACCGTGTGCCATGCCTGCCAGGGCCAAGAGCAGAGTGTTAATGGTGGCCAGAGCCTGGCAGGGTCAGCCTGAGGAGAAAGGTCAGCAAGCCACTCCACCCATGACCTCTGTCCCACGTGGGAGCACAGTCCCCGCCCACACACTCCACTCAGCCTGTGGCTACCTCTGCTCTGACCAAACCCTCCCTTAGAGACCCAGTCAGCCCAGGACTGCGGAAAAGACGTCAGCCTCTGGGGCCACGCATGTATGAACCCAGGCTCCACCCTTCCTCCTTGGTGGAGGGGGGAGGGAGGCAGAGGCCAGGGACTGCTGTTTCTGACCTGTTGTCATTCATCTGTGTGTACCGAGGCTGTGGGTCAGGGTCCTGGTCATTGACATCGAAGCTGGCCCCAGGATCCTGGAAAGGACGTGGCTGTTGTCAGGAGCAGCCTAACCACGCTGGCAGAACAGGGCCACCCCTAGACACACTCACTGGGGATCACTGCCCCCCACAACCTGCTCACATAATTGCCTGCCAAGTCTGGGTGGTTCTTCTCGATGCCGTCGTCCAGGATGGAGACTACAATGCCGCGCCCTGTGTAGCCCTGGGCCCAGGCCTCCTTCACGTTCAGGTCCCGCTGGGTGACACCAGACTGTGGAGACACGTACCCCATCACCCCAGCACTTAGGAGACATGCTTGGCTGTGTGAGGCCAGGGTGCCTTGAAGAATCTCTTCACCACCCCCAAAACCTCCTCCTCCACCCACCACTGCTGCTAAAATGCCACCACTGGTTGTCTGGGCTCTGTGGAAGCGTAAAGAACTCTGGGAGGGCACACCCCAGGCTTAGCAGGATGGGCTAGGGAGAGGCAGCTCAGCAGACAGAAAGAAGGATGAGAGGAGACCTCCACGTCAGCCTCTTGGAGAATCTTCAGGAGACCCCAGTGGGTAGGTGGGTACCTACCTACCTAGCTGGAGAGGAAGACCCGGGACCCAGGGAGGCAACGTACCAGGTACCACTGCTGGGGAAACTTGGGGTCCGTGGGCTCCTGGTACACATCCCGTTTGATCCGTGGCTTTGCCACCTGCTGCTCTAGCCACTGTACCTGTGAGGGGGTGAGGGAGAGACGGTGTGGGCGGAGGAGGGGGAGGAAGAGAGAGGCACTTCTGAGGGCAGGAAGGGGAGGGTAGCAGCAGGAGGGGCTGGGGCTGCACTCACTTGAGGCTCCCTTTGTAACCGGCTGTGCCGCAGGCGGTGAGGCAACAGGGACCGCTTTGTCACAGCTCGATGCCAGAAGTGGTAATAGTCTCCGAAGATCTGCAACAGAGCAGGAAGACTGAGCTGGGCTTTCCATCTGTCAGTTTCAGGGGAGGTGGGGAATGGGGGTGGACAACAGGCTACATACAAGAGGAGGCACACAATGGCAGGGGGTGGAGGGTCATCTGCTCCCTGCCCAGGACCCAGCAAGAAGGTGCAGGGGACCCAGGGGGACTCCCCCTCCCTGAGGAACACTGGTCCTACGTGAGAAGCCCCAAGATAGGGCAAGCCACTGCTCCCATCCCCCTGGCCACCCGGAACATGACCCTGAGAAGACAAGCCTCATAGTTCCTGTTCCCAGTGCCAGGACCCCTGCCCTCACTGGCCCACCCCCCCGACATGTTGTGAACCCCCTAGGCCAGGGGGCGCTAAGAACACCTACCTGGCCCTGGTTGAGGAAGCCATGTTTGCGTGCCAGGCGGTCAGCCACAGCCGGGCCTCCACGGATGTGCACAGCCCAAGTGTTGGTAAAGACCTTCTGGCCATGGGCATCAGCTGCCAGCAGGACCAAGGGTCCTGCTGCTGCTACTACCCATAGCAACCAGGGCCTCAGCTCCATGGGGGGGACAAGTGGCCGGGACCCCCGAGCTCTCGTCTCCTTGGCCTGGTCACAGGGCCTTGGCTCCCACGTGCCAACTCACTGCCTGTGGCCCGGGGCTGGCTGGCGGGGGCATGGGGCCGAGGCTGGCAGGGCTGTGGCAGGAGGATGAGGGCTGACGGCTCTGGGAGGAACAAGGGAGGAAAAGGGGGAGAGAGTCAGTCCCTCACAGCCATGAGCTAAAATAAAAGCTGCCTCCCCATCCCATGGCTCAATCCAGGACTGAAAGGGGCTCTGGGGCAAGGGGTAAAAACCCAGCACCCGAAGGTCAGCCGGGCAGATGGGCAAATGGACCCCTCCACACACACAGTTCCCAAGCCTCTTTCCACACGAAAATATGGAAGTGGGAAGAAGAACATCAAAGCTTGAGTCACTCAAAATCAGAAACAACAACAAAATAAATGCTCGCCAGAATCCAAGTAAAAAAGATGGGTTACAGTATGTACACATGATTCCGTTGTGTTTTTAAAAAGCTATTTATACATATGTATTTATATATAACCATAACACAAAATCTGCAAGGACACACTAAAATGTTAACAATGGTTCTCTGAAGATGGTGAGAACTACGAGTAATTATCTTCTTCTTTGTGTATGCTTTCGAAATTACCTAGGTATATTTTATAAAGGAATAAGATGTTAGGTTTTTAAAGTTTCTTAATGGGCAGCATCTACACAGCTCACTAGGGGTTTCCTGGTTCAGCCAAGCAAACCCAGCCCCAAAGAATTATTTGTAAAGACACACAGCCCCTGGGAAGAAAAAGTGGGCAACCATAGGTGGGATGGGGGCTCTGCGGGCTGAGAACAAGGGATCACAGTGGTTTCCCCTCCCTCTATGGCCCAGACCCTCAGCCATCATCAAAGCCAGGGGGCCACGCTCTTTTTTACTGTTTCCTGGGGAACGCTGGTGCCGCTCAGCCCTGTCCCGCCTGGGCCTGGGCCTGGGCCTGGAGGCCCCCAGCAGTCCCTTTGCTCGCTCCACGCCCACCAGCCCCAACCAGCCTTGCGTAATCCGAGCCGGGCAGTCAGGGCAAACACTGGCTGCTGAGCCAGGAGCGCCAAGGTGAGGTTGAATCAATAGTCCGTGTGTTGTTTTTCCTCCTTCAGCAAACAGACAGCGGGACCTCTCTGCCTGGGGCCACATAACTGTCCCCACATAGGGCCCCTGACTAGCCAGAAGCCAAGCCCCTGGGGTGGGAAGAAGCTGGGGGAGGTCGCAGCGGGGCTGCTGGAGGTACCCTGTCTCTGTATGGTGCCTGGCCACAGGGCCCCAGTTGCCCCACCGCTCCCACGGCTCAGCCCCAGAGGAGGCCACTCTGCCAGGCGGCAAAATTAAGCTCCCAGGGCCCTGGGAACTGGGCAGGCGGGCTCACCACCGGGAGCCCCTCGCTTCTCCAGGGGCTACCCTCAGTCACAACCAGCCTCCTCGGCTGTACTTCTGCTCCTGCTGCAGTCCCACCATGAAGGCTGGGGGGACTCAACACACAATTCCTGAAGTATTTTCAGTTTACACCAAAATAACCTGACAGCTGATGGCAGGAGACATCCACAATGCAGCTAGCTCCTCCTCACCCGGAGGGGCAGAGTCCACAGGGCTCCCAAAGGGGCCTGTAAGAAACAGCCCCAGGATGCCTCGGGTGTCCAAGTTCCAGAAAGCCAGTCTGAGCAATGGCTGGGCAGCCAGACATCTGGCCTTAGGGGGTGAAGAGACTCCAAGCCCCTCATTTAACAGAAGATATGGGGCCCTGGGGGCAGAGCCGGGTGGGAATGAGGCCTATTCTCCCCTTCTTGCCACCACAGTACCTGCCTCTAAGGTCTAGATGCCATGCAAACCCCCAACGCCACCACCACCACCACAGTGCTGTGAGCCCTGTTGGAGCCCCCAAACCAAGACTGGGTTCATCTGGGTCTAGCCCAGGTTCCGGCTGACTGTGGATGGAGCAGCTGCTTGGCGATAAAGGTGATTAACCAACTACTTAATTACCCTGCAGCACCCAGGAAAAAAAGCAGACTTCAGGCACAACCAAACAATCCCCAAGCAAGGGCGTGCTCCCTCTGCCCAGTGTTCTCAGCCACAGGAGCAGGGGTATGGCTTCCACAGAGCCCTGGTGCCCCCCAGACGGCCCTGCCTCAGCATCCTGGAGGGAGAGAGGACCACCCCGTTCCCAAGAGAGCTGGAGCTGAGAACAATGAATGAATGGGCTTCTCCCCACCCCGTCGGGGATTCTGACTCACCTGAGTCCCAGTTCTTGCCTCCCTGTGATGCCCTCTCACGTGGGACTTAGCTCCCGGCTGCTCTTCTTGGCTGTGTTCCCTCAAAGCCCTTTTCCCAGCCCCAGAAACCTCCCGGCACTGACACACTGACAGCCACTCCGAGGCACCCACACCAAACCTACCCCCAGGTCCCCCTGCTGCTTCCCAGGCACTGGGGGTCTGGCGCAGACCGAGCTGCCTGGGAAACCGGATCTCGGTCTGTCCTTCCAGCAAAAGGACACCAAGCCAGGTTTTGTTACAGGCACTGAAAGGCTCCCCTGAAATTCTGACTTTGTCTCTGTTAGGTTCACATTTGCTGTGTAATCTTAGACAAGTCACTTCCTCTCTGAGCCTCAGTTTCCTTGGTGGTAAAAACTGCTAAACCAGAGGTTTTCAAACTTTTTTTAAAGCCACAGAATCCTTAAAAAAAAAAAAAGACATCAAATCTTATGTGGAAGCCCAGTATAGTAAATAGTAACACTGGGGCCACTGAGGTTGAGGCGGGTCGGGGCAGGCTCGGCTACTCTCCTAAGCTTGTCCACACCTGGCCAGCAGCTGCCCAGCCCTCACTAGGCCACATCACCGAACTCCCCTCGCAATGCCCAAGTCTGAGAGAATTCCAACACCCTCCACCTAATCAGGGGCTGCGCCCCCAGGGGCAAGGGACTAGGGGACGGCGGGAAACAGCTTCTGAGCTAAGTGACTGCTGTCAGACCTGTCTGGCAAGCAGGCCGCCCCTCAGTTCAGCCACCCCACGGGGGGCAGTGGGGGCCTCGGCCAGGCCTCCGTGGGAGGCAGCCCCAGAACCTACCTGACCCGGCCTTCCAGCGCCGCGCGCGGGTCGCGTACCTGAGTCTCCGGCCGCCCAGGTGTGCAGGCGGGGGCGAGGCCCCGGCCGGGAACAACCCCGCCTCCCCTGAGCTGGGCTTTCCATCTGTCAGTTTCAGGGGAGGTGGGGAATGGGGGTGGACAACAGGCTACATACAAGAGGAGGCACACAATGGCAGGGGG